AGCACAGCACTCCACATAATGAGGTCAGCCCGGAGACCAAGACAGGAGACCTGGATTTGGAAGTCACTACACAGACGGAGAGGGTGTCAAGAGCAGAGGACCCTGGTTCTAACCTGAGGTCTCTTCTAAAGATGAGCCCCAATCTCCATTTCCAGTCCTGTGCTTGCTTTTCAATTCCACTGATACATCTCCAGCTGCCCACTGGACTCTTGTCACCTCAAACTCAATACATCAACACATCACCACCTTCCAGCAACCAGCCCTCAACCTAGTTTTCCTAATTCTTTAAGCATAAAAGACCACCAAATTTCACGTCAAACTGACCTGGGTTCAAATAGATCTGCCATATACAAACCATAACACCTTTCTGGGAGGGACTAAATGAGATATTTTGTATATAGTATATAGCACAGTGCCTGGCACATAGCAAGTGTTCAGTGAATGTCATTATTATTGCTGTACCTGTTACTTCTCAGGCTTGAAACTCCCTCCCTTTCATCCACATTTATGGTTAAACCCCACGCTGGGAAGTAGGAGAAAGAAGAGGGACCCACAAAGGGGAGAGTAAAACTTCAGTGGTTTGTGCTTCCTGGGGTGACCTCATCCCTCTGGCTTGGGGCTGCTTCTGCAGGATTTCTTTTCTACACCCACCATGGAGAGAATCCAGCTCTAACCAAGAAGCCCCTGCTCTTCTCTTTCTAGAACTACTTCCTTGGGGATCACAGTCAGCGCCATTGTTCTACCTCTTTTCAGTTCAAGCCTGCATTTCTATCACTGCAGTCTCTGCCTTCCCAAAACACTCTCCTTCCCTTCCAAGTACCTAGAATTAAAGTTTTACAAATCATCCAGTCCAAAAAAGTTTAGTTTCAAAATTAAAGCAGTCATAAAATCACATTCTTGCACAATTATTTGAGTAAACTGGGCCTTTCCCCAACCAACCTACGTGCATTTACCAGTCCTCACTGCAGTGCGTGGACTGTGCACAAACACTTGAGCTTTAACTGTGCGGCACAATAACCTCAGTTGTTGGTCTGTGACTTACTCTTGCTAACATCCTCCTACCTGATAGGCCTAGTATGGTCTCAAGTCCCTCCCCCCCGCCCCCCACCCCCTGAAATACTCCTTAAGTATGGATTGCTAATGATTAACAACAGACACGGGGGCCAATCACAATCACAGGCCCTCGCACCTCGGCACACCTTAACATTCCCTGAGGCACGTGGCAAACGGAGAGATGAAGGCAGATTCCAAGGAGACCTGCTTGGTGTCTGTACACAGTGAGGGGAGAACAAAGGGAACGGGCGCCTCAGAGGTGGCAGGCAGGGAAAGCAGGCGAGACAGACTGTAAGATGAGTCAGAGGGAATGAGGGTACTGGGTCACATCAAGTACACTTACCTGCCCCCAGAGGGTGTCGTGAACTGGAAGAAGGGAAAGGAGGAGGGGGAGTTGATGCCATAACTCGGAAAGTGGGGAAGAGTGGATTACAGACGGGAAGCAAAGGCTCAGCTAATTTCTGGAAGGGACTCGAGCTCCTGCCCTCTGAGATCTCCTAGACCTTTCCTGTCTGGCTCTTCTCCCAGCTGCTGCAGGTACGGGCGGCTGGGACGGCAGGGTGAGGAAGGGGTTAAGGCCTGCGCTAACAACAAAGATGTCAATCCTGGCGATAGGTGGACTCCTGCTTGGCCAGACAGAAGCCACCCTGTGGCTGCTAATGCCCTCAATTTATTTGGTGCTTTCAACTTATTTCCAATGCCCTCAGACTAATGATCTCATTTAATCTTCAAGCAACCCTGTGAAACAGGCAGGACTGGGATTATTATCTCTAACATGCTCCTTCCTCTTTACCCTGTGGATCGCTCAAGAGCCCTCAAATTGTTTCTGCCATCCTGGAAACAGCCAACGCTGAAGCAGGCGGTGCCTTAGGGGCTCTGGAAGGTTTGGATCCTCCTCTAGACAGATTGTCCTGGGCTGGGTGTGACAAGAAGTCACAAGATACAGACTCATTCCCTTCCTGGAATTTCCCAGGCACCCTCCCCCTTTGCTTATATCTGAAAGCCAGGCACATAAGGACAATTGCACCCACTCCCCAGGGGGCTATGTCAGGCTTCTTTTTTCTCGTTAGGCAAATGGAAACCTGAGACTGAGAGAGGCGAAGGCCTTTGGCCTGAGTCAGCCAGTGAGCAAACCTGGAGGGATATGTGATGAAGCAGGAAGAGCACAGGTTTGGGGTGTCAAAAGGCCTGGGTTTCAGCCTCAGGTCTGCCATTTATCAGCCGGGGTCACCAAGACAGTCATTCAACTTCCCCAGTCTGGGTTTTCATAACCGTCTAGTGGAAATAATAATACCCATCTCTTGGGGTTGTTGAAGCCCTGATGGCACAGTGGTTAAGAGCTCGGCTGCTAACCAAAAGGTCAGCAGTTCGAATCTACCAGCCGCTCATTGGAAACCCTATGGGGCAGTTCTACTTTGTCCTATAGGATCGCCACGAGTTGGAATCAACTTGACGGCAACAGGTTTGGTTTTGGTTCTTGGGGTTATTCAGAGGATTAAATGAGATTAAGATGCCAAAGTACTCTTTAAATATAAAGTGTTGTATCAAAATAAACTACTACAATTATCAAGTAGCATGGGTAACAGGGTCTGCCATAATGGAAGGAGGCTGGAGCAAGTATAGAGTCCTGGCTCTGTGGAAAAATCTGGGTGTGGATAAGGGTGATGATTGAACAACACGATGAATACAAGTTAATGTCACTGAATGCAGAGTGGAAGGTTAAAATGGCAGGTGTTTGGTTACATACATATTGACTACAATTTAAAAAAAAGTCCCAGCTGTCCTCACATCACCTGTGTAACACCCGGCAAGTCAGAGCCTGCTTTTTAAGGCCCCTGCCTGCTATGAGATTGTGGGGTTCTGTGGCTACACTTCTTCTGGTACAAGAGTTCTGGCTTGGCCGCTCCAATCCCTTGACTGCCCTGCTATCTGTGCCCCATAACTGCCTTCGATCCAAGGGCTTTATTGAACAGAGCCAACCAGTTCCCATTAAGGGGAACCGTGGCTCCATCCCCTCTACCCATTTCCTCAGGAGGATGAAGTATGCTTTCGCACTGTCCTCTCCTCTCAGGCTCCATTGCCCCCCAGCTTTAAGACCCACAGGCTGTGTGGTGGCAACGGTGGGAGGGGGGCTCTTGGTCATAAAACCAGTGACGGATTGCCCAGTGCAAGACTTCTCATTTGAAAGCATCAGACTGTTTGGCTTCCCTCCCTCCCAGGGAAAGGTGGGCCCTGGCTGCCCTGTCTTTGACATTCTGCTTCTCCCAGGATAGCCCCTGAGCCTTTCCTTGAGGAAGCAGCTCAGCATAACCCTTGCTGAGCTCATGAAGGTGAATTAAATATTAAACATGTAAGGCCGGAGCCCCTGGTGCAACAGCACATTCCCATGACACAGACAATGGCAAACAGCTCATGGGCCGCTCCTCAGAGGCTGCAGCTCTCCTTCTCCAGCCAGGGCTTCCCCTCCCCAGCTCACACTCCTGTAAGGGAATGAGAAATGGTAATGCTTTGCTTTTCCCAGCCAGTGAACAGCTCATGGTTCTCCACATCCTTCCTCCAACCCCCAGTGTTGAAGGCCCCAAAACCAAACCAAACCCATTGTCACTGAGTCAATTCCAACTCATAGCAACCTTATAGGACAGAGTAGAACTGCCCCAGAGGGTTTCCAAGGAGCAGCTGGTAGATTCGAACTGCCGACCTTTTGGTTAGCAGCCAAGCTCTTAACCACTGCACCACCAGGGCTCTGTTGAGGGCCCCAGGGACCTGTAAATACCTGGAACTTTGAGTTGTGGCATTTGTAGCATTGAAATGTAACAGGTCTGTGGATGACCATGAGGCGGCCTCCATAGCTGAGCCCCTCCTAGAGCGTGGAGGCCCACACGGAAGCTCAGGAAGGATGCTGAGGCCCTGGCATCTCTCAGCGCAATAGGGAATTGGACCTTACTGGGATGAGGCCTGGGTGTGGAGCCAGTTGGTTTGCTTCTGAGATTAATACAGGTGATGGGATTGTCAGGTTGGAAGAGCCTGAGAGATGACCCAGGCCAACCTTCTATTTTACACAAAGGGAAACTGAGGCCCAAGAGATGGGGAAGTAATTTGCACAAGGTCACTCAATGAGCTGTAGAATAACTAGGCCTAGACTCCAGGTCTCCAGTATACACTCTGGTGTTCTTTCCACCCTACCTCCTGTGTGATCCCTTTGAATCTCCTTCCAGTGACACAAAGCAATAGACCCCACCACATGAGTCCAGTGGACTATTTTCACAGGGAACAGGATCCACTCATGGTCCCACTCTGCCACCCAAGAAATGAACAAGCATGAGGCTCATGGGTTCCAGCTCAGCTCTGCCACCTTGTAAGATGGAACCTTGGTCACGTCACTTCTCTGAGTCTTAGTCCTTCATCTGTAAAATGGAGCTTTAAGAATCGCCAACCTGGATGGCTGTTGTTAGGATCAGATGAGATCACGTATGTGGGGGCATTTTGTAAACTGTGAGGTGCTATCCAAATGTCAGATATTATTAAAATGAGGTGAGGTCTGAAGGTGCTGTAGAGGGAGGAAGTTGCAGGGGAGGAGGCTAGTCAGGAGAACTCACGACAGGCTGAGCTCCTTCCGGGCCATGACACTGACCTGACTGATGCTGGGGCCACCAGCAGAGACTGACAGGCAGCAGGTCAGACCACCCAAGCTCACTGGCTTGAGAGACCACCTGTCTGCTCTGCTTTTCTTAGCGCGTGTGTGTGTCCCCACCAAGCCCTCCCTGGAGGCTCTGCCTGTCAGTCTGGTATCACAGGAATCTGCCTGGCTGCTCCAGGACCACATTCGGCAGGAGAGCAGCATGTGATGCTGAGGGAGGATATCCCACTGCATGCCAGGCCACAGACCCTCAAAGACCCACAGACCCCCGGGCACTTCTCGTAGTCCCCCATTCCCTTTGGGGCCTTACCTTGTACTTGGCAGCAAGCAGCTCTGTGGCCTGCTGCTCCCGCCACAGGTCCTCCAGCATCTTCTCCTTCTCCTCCAGCAGCTTCTGCTTCTCCTCGCTCACCAGGCTGCGGTCGTCCTGGATGGCCGCCTTCTCCTCCTCCAGCCTCTCTTTCTGCTCCTGCAGGTAATTCTCCATGTTCTTCTCCAAGGCTGACTCCAGGATGGGCTGGGGCGGGCGGTGGTTGTTGTTGTTGTCATCCTCCTCTTCGGCCACCCAGGCCTCGATCACTGGCCCCTCAGGGTACCCCGCTGGGGCTGACACGGCCTTCTTCCTGCGGCTGCTCTTCCTCCGGGGCCGCTTCCCCAGCATGCCCTTCTTCTCCAGCTGGGCCTTCAGGCGGGCAATCTCCTCCTGGAACTCCCGCAGCAGCGTGTCCTTGGGGTCCTCATTCACTCGAGGCTTGTTCTTGATGTTCTTGGCTCGGTTGGCAAAGCGCAGGGTGGAAAGGCTCTCGTCATAGCTGTGAGAAGCTGGCCCTAGTGTGGCCACCATGATGGTCTTAGCATTCCCCCCCAGAGAGTCCTGGAGCAGTCGGGTGAGCTTGGAGTCCCTGTAGGGGATGTGTGTGCTCCTATTGCCAGCCAGAGCAGCAATCACGTTGCCCAGGGCAGACAGTGACAGGTTGATCTTGGAGGCTTCCTTAGGCCTCTCTCCACCACCACCACTGCCTCCACCGCCACCACCACCCCCTGAGGACTGTGTGGCTGTCCCTCCAGCTGTGTTGGGGCCTGCCTTGTTCTGCCTCTCGCTGCCAGCCAGGTCCACCAGGTTGAGCTTGCCCACACGGATGTGGTCCTGGCCATCAGCGCCACGCTCACTGCACTCCACCGTGATGACGAAGATGGCGTGGGAGCGGGAGCTGACCTCATTCATGTGTGTGCTGCCCACTGCTCGCGTCTGGTTCCCCAGGTTCATCACATGCTCAATCTCCTTGACATTCTTGGTGACAAAGGAGGAGAGGTCCTTGATGTAGACACCCGTCTCGGGGTTCTCCTTCAGCTCTAGCCTCTTGCCTGGCTCCTTGGAGAGCAGGTCTCGAATCTCCTCCTGGTAGATCTCCAGGTAGGAGGCCCGGACCAGGTACTGCTGGTTCTGGGAGCGGGAGATGTGGGTGAAGATGTGCTCAAAGGTGTTGGGGATGACCCCACGGAGCTCGGGCTCCACCCAGGTACCCTGCATAGTGTAGGTCTTGCCAGTACCTGTCTGGCCGTAGGCAAACACCGTGCCATTGAAACCCTGAAGCACCGAGTCTACCAGGGGCCTCACAGTTTCATCATAGAGGTCTGCCTGTTTGGAGCTGGGGTCATACACGGCGTCAAATGTGAAGGTCTTGGGCAGCTCCCCCGGGGCAGCGCGTGGGTTTCGCAGGGTTACCTGGCCCAGCTTCACATCCATGGTCAGGATCTGCTCGTGACCAGCAGCCTCCTCCTTCCGGTTGAGGGGGCGGCACCGGGCCACCACCTTGAGGGCCTCGCTGGCCTTGGTTTTACTGGCCATTTTGGTGCTCTGCCCTTCCTGCCCCCGCCCCCCTCTGCAGCCTAGGCGGTCTTTCTGTCCTCCTCCCTAGGTCAGGATCCGCGGGGCTGACCCAGCCCCCAGGCGCCGCTCTTCAATCCGCATGCAGCCTCCTAGGGTGGGGATGCTGGGAGGTGGCCCCGCCGCTGCTGCAGTCCGGGCCTCCACTGCTCTCCGGTCCTCGCTGCACCGGCTGGGGGAGGGAGAATTACGCAGAATCCCCGGGCAGCCGCAGGAACAGCGGGAGCACTACCGGCCGAATGGCAGTGCCCGGAGCCCGCCCCATGCTGGGGCAGAGGGAGCGCTGCGGTAAACAGCGACGGCAACAATGAGATAAAGGACGAGGAAAATGGGATGGGGGTGGGCAGCAGAGCTGTCTTCTCCTCCTCCTCCTTCGTCTAGGGATCCATAGCGGAGGCGGCGGGTCCTGGGCGGCCGGGGGTCCCGGCCCTCCCGAGGGCAGAGGCTCACCTGGAGTCCTCCCCACTAGCTGGGGGATCATTCATTGCAGCCAAGGCGGCTGCCTCTGACTCTGCCTCCGCCTTCACCGCCGCCGCCACCCGAGAATGAGAGAGAAAAACAGAAGGGGATGGGGCGGAGCAGCGGCGGCGAGAGTGATGTTGCCGCCGCGCTGCGGTCCCGGCTAAGCCTCTCGGCTGGGGTGGGGCCAGGGGCGGGGCCGCGGGGCCGCGGGGCCGGAGACGCGAGCCAGGCGCCGCCGGTGTGCGGGGGAGAGTGGGGCATTGCCGGCTCCGCACCCCCGCGGACTTCTCCGTAATGACAGGCTCCGGTGCCGACCCAACTCCTGCGCCCACCAGTCCGGTGCAGCGCAGCCACAGCCCGCCGTCACCCCACCGGGCCGAGCATGCTGGGAGTTGTAGTCCCGCCTTTGTTAACCGGGTGCTGGCAGGTTGCTAATGCCTTTTCCAGTCCGGGTGGCCCCTCCCGCTCCGGCCTGCAACCCCCGCAATGACTGCTGAGGTTGCAGACTCCCTGTGGGGGTATCCACTACCCACACTTGTTCCCTGCACGGCTACCATTCTCGGTCTCTCCATTGCTCTTGTTTTTCTGCATGCAGACGGGTATATGTCACCTCTTTCCTTCACGGTGTTGTCAGGCCTCGTGGAGCCTAACCTCTAAATGTCTCTTGACCCTGTTATTTCTCTTCCCTACCCTAGCTTACTTCTTCTTAGCGCTCCTGGAACCACCTTTCAGCTGCTTCTCTCTTCATCTCATCACCGCATGTGCACCTGGTCCTCTCTCCTCCTCCCTCTCCCACCTTCCATATTGTACACAAGGCCAAACTTCCTAGCCTGGCCACCAGCTCCTGTCCTATACAGAATATGTGTTTCAGACACTGGTTTTTTCAACGAATAGTTACTGAGTGCCTGCTAAGCCTCAGGCCCCATTCTAGGAGCTGGACTCTGTCCTTAAGGAACTCACGTTCTAGAAACTATGTTTTGTTTCCTTAACTGCTGGTGCTGTGTTGCATTTCTGTGCCTTTGCCCAGAGGCCCCTGACACCCTTCTGCACTTGGTTCCCTGCCACTTGGGCAGTTCAAGCACCACCTCCTCCATGAAGCCTTCCCTGGCCAATTGCTCTTCCATAGCAAAAAAGAGACACAGAATTGGCATAACACAAAACCTGAATTCACGTTCCAGTTCTGACCTCCATCCAACGATGTGACTTTGAGCAGTCCCTTTCTTTGTCCCAGCCTTAGTTTCCTCATCTATTAAAACAATTAGAGAGGTGGGGGTGGGGGATAATACCTACTTCAGAGAGTGGTTGTGAGCCTCAAAGGAAACCAAGTATTGTAGGGGTGAGAAGACTTAGAAAGCAAGCACTTAATACATGCACCTGACCTGGCTTCGATACCCTTACACCTCCTGCTTTCTTGAGTATCCAGGTCTGTGTTTTGTGTTCCTCTATGGAATCTTCATATTTGCCCCTTCTAGGGTGCAAATTAAGTGTATTTCCAAAAGTACAGCCAGTCCTATTCACGTACTACTCTGCAGAGGAGAGTTTAATCTATGGACGGAGACCAAACTGTCTTTACTTCCAATTGGAGATCCAGATCAAATAGGCGCTAATTTTTTGTTTTTTTTTCAGAAGTTATTTTTATTGCTCTGGGGCGGGGTGGGGGGTTGGCGCTCAGGAGCCCTTGGTGGAACGGTTCGTTTCCTCTTCACCATCACCGGCTTCTGGCTGTGCAGGCAGCCATGCGCAGATCCAGGAGGTACTTGTTCTTGCAGATCATGTGCCAGATGGTGCTGAGAGTGGCCCGGGTGTTTTTGTTGATTGTGGTCTGCACGGAGGAGGTGGTTTCCTTCCTCTGGTCCCATCTCCGCTCCAGTACCATCTCTACCCCTTCGCCGTCAGCTCCGGCTGCACGCCCACAATCTTGCGATGAATCAGCCCGTTGTAGCGGAAAGAGTTGCGGACCTTCAGGTTACTGGGCTTGGTGCTGTACGTCTGCTTGTTCCCCTTGATCAGGAAACTGGAGCAGTTACGCACCACCACCATCCACTGCAGACGCGACATGGCGCAGCTCCTCTCCCTGCTGCAGCTGGAGACAAAAAGAAGCAAGGAAGCGCTATCATCTGAAACCTCAAGGCCTTCGTCACAGAGGCACTAAAATAGTCTTTCTACAAAACATTTTCAATCTTGTTATTCTCTAGAGGGTCTGTTTAGTCCTTCAACTCTCCTAAGCCTGTCACTTCACCTCTCCTCCATTTCCAAGTCCCAAGGAACTGGATGTCAGCTAGGCTGGAGGCTTGACGATGAGTTGCTTGCTTGCCCACTTCTGAAGTTTCCTGGCCTTCCTCTGCCTTCTCTTTGATCAAGCTCTACAGCTTATGATTAACTGGGTGGGGTTTTGACTTTGTAGACTTAAACTCTCTTCGCTCTGGCAACCTAAGACCGTTTGGCTCTTGAACTATTTTCTTGTTGCCCTTGGCTTTGATTTTTGGACTACCCTTTCTTTGCTTTGGCTAATCTGCCTGACACTATAAACCAAAAACCAAACCCGTTGCCATCAGGTCAATTCCAACTCATTGCGACCCTATAGGACAGAACAGAACGGCCCCATAGGGTTTCCAAGGAGGGCCTGGGGGTTTCGAATTGCCAACCTTTTGATTAGCAGCGGAGCTCTTAACCACTATGCCAGCAGAGTAAAAGGGATCCCTGCCTACTCTCCCCATCCAGTGTCATCACCTGGCGGGTCATTTGCCCAGCTCCACCTATACGGGAGGAACATTGGAATACCATTGTTTATAAGATGTGTGACCCTGAGTAAGGAGCCCCGGTTGTGCAGTGGTTAAGTGCTAACCAAAATGTCAGCGGTTCCAGCCCACCAATGGCTCTTCAGGAGAAGGATGTAACAATCTGCTTCCATAAAGACTACACCCTTAGAAGCCCTATGGTGCAGTTCTACTCTGTCCTACAGGGTTGCTATGAATCAGAATCGACTCAATGGCAACGGGTTTGATTTTGGTTTTGACCCTGAGTAAATTGTTTAACTTCCCTGAACAGCTATTTTCTCACTGGGAAAAGCACTAAGGATAAGAATGCTTACCTTAGTCACAGGGCTTAATGAGCATCAAGTGAGATAATGTCTGTGAGAACTCCCGGGACATAGAAGGTACTCAAGAAATAGTAGTTTTCCATCTTTTTGTCTTTCGCATTCAAGGCTGTTCAGATCCTGTCTCTGTTCTCAGCATTGTGTTCAGCCATTCCTCCTCTTCTCAGGCTCAAAGCTCCAGCCACTCTGATTTGTTTGAGGTCCCTTGAACATCCCATAGTTTTTTGTGTCTCCTTGCCTTTGCTCATGCTGCTCCTCTGCCTGCAATGTCCTCCTAATTTTGTCTATTTCTGTCTGTACCATCTTACCTTCTATTTATTCTGCAGCTCGATACCATATGACTTCCACCCCCACCACTCTATTACCAAGGACAGCACTGAATTCCATGGTGCCAATTTTAGTAGATCCTTTTTAATGGGGGCATCTAACACAACTGACTTTTCCCTTCTTTATGAAACTCTTGCTTCCCATGACTTCCATGACTCTACACTTTTATGGTTTTGTTCCTACAGTTCTTATGAGTTCTAGTTGCTCAATTTTGGTCTCATCAAAGGAATGTTCCCTTCAAACTCAATGTTAAATGTTGGAGTTCATTAAGGCTTGGTCCTAAGCCTTCTTTTCTTCCAAATCCATGATCACTCAAGCTTAGGGCTTCAATTATTGTCCAAATGACTCCTAAATTTGTATATCCAGCCCAGACTTCTCTTCTGAGCTCCAAATCTATACATCCAATTCTCTAATAGACATAACCACTTAGATGGCTCCCAGGCACCTGAAACCCCATTTTTCACACAGAACTCATCATCCTCCCCTCCAAACTCTCCTCCCAGAATGGTCCCTAACTCTGTGAAAAACACTTCCCCCGCCCCAATATATCCATTCAAGCACCAACTCTTGTTAACTCGATTTCCTAAATATTTCTTGGATCTGTCAATTTCCGCATTTCCATGACCACTACCATGGCCCAAGCCATCATCTTCTCTGGCCTGGCCTCCTACAATAGCCTCCAATATAGTCTCCCTAGGTCTGTACTTGCCCCCTGTCATGGATTGAATTGTGCCCCCAAAAAATACGTGTTAACTTGGTGAGGCCATGATTCCCAGTATTGTATGATTGTCCTCCATTTTGTGATTGATATAATTTTCCTATGTATTGTAAATCCTAATCTCTGTCTGTGGTTAATGAGCCAAGATTAGATTATATTAAAGAGGATTAGGGTGGGATGTAACACCCTTGCTCAGGTTACATCCCTGATCCAATGTAAATGGAGTTTCCCTGGAGTGTGGCCTGCACCATCTTTTATCTTACAAGAGATAAAAGGAAAGGGAAGCAAGCAGAGAGATGGGGACTTCATACCACCAAGAAAGCAGCACCAGGAGCAGAGTGCACCCCTTGGACCTGGGGTTCCTGCACGGAGAAGCTCCTAGTCCAGGGAAAGATTGATGACAAGGAACTTCCTCCAGAGCTGACAGAGAGAGAAAGCCTTCTCCCAGAGCTGACGCCCTGAATTTGGACTTCTAGCATACTAGACTGTGAGAGAATAAACTTCTGTTTGTTAAAGCCATCCACTTGTGGTATTTCTGTTACAGCAGCACTAGATGACTAAGACACGCCTACTAATCCATTCTCTACAAAGCAATCTTTTAAAAACACATATCTAATCATGTTAGCTCACGCTTAAAACTTTTTAATGCTTCTCACTATTCTTAAGGTAAAGTCCAAATGATTAATGTAGCCCCCGAGGCCCTGCACAATCTGGAAACTGTCTATGTCTCCAGTCACATCCCATGCCACTCTCCACCTTGCTCCTTGTGTTCTAGTTATAATGGCCTTCTTCAGCTTCCTCCCAGCTTCCTACCACAGGACTTTTTCGCATTTTGTTTTCACTGTATAGAACATTTATGCCCGTGTCTTTGCTTAGATAACTCCTCCTCATCCTTCGAATCTCAGGTTGAATGTCATTTCCTTTAGGGTAACT